TTGCTTTTGGCCTTTGGATTTTTTACTTGTGTATCTGTGTGTGTGTGACAACGGGCCAAAGCCCCACAGCCTGATGTGTGTCTGGTGCCCAGCTAAAGCTTCTGAGTTAGATAGACAGCCAAACAATTGCTGTTTGTATCCTGTTAGCTTTGCTTCCCTACCCCCCCGCACTTTGTGCTCGACAAATTAGTTTCTAATACCTTCAAGTCAAACAGTGGAGACCAACAGACAAAAACAAATAAACAGATCTGCCGCAGACTGAGACTGATTTGGAGTCTATAACAGAGGCTGAGGCTCAGTCTAAGACAGAGACTGAGTCTAAGTCTTAGACAGAGTTTGAGTCTGAGTCTGAGTCTGAGTCTGAGTCTGAGTCGGAGTCTGAGTCTGAGGCTGAGTCGGAGTCTGAGGAAGAGTCCTAGCCGCAGTTTTGGGTTGGCTAACAAAATCACTTAAGCGTGGCATGTGCATACATCTCTCTCTCCTTCTCCCTCTCTCTCTCAATCTCTCTTCCTCTCTCTCTTTCTCCCTCTCATTCTGTCTGCTATCTAATTACAAGCAGCCGCCCGATTGATTTGCAGTAAATTGTATTTTAAATAGTTTCCATTTAGTTACGCTTAAACATGCGACTACAAAGCAGCTGCTGCATCTCTTTCTGCCCCAAACTAGCTATAAAGATTGCGTAATGATGCGGTCATGCCCCTCGCCCACTCCACCCCGCCTTCCTCCAGCCACGCCCCATCAAGCATGTGGTCTCTTAATGAGCTATCTGTAGCCCGTCTGCTTTTACCTTCTGTGTGTATTTTAGCTATTTTTTGAGCCAAAGTTTTTAAATTAAATTTTAATTGTTTATGCTACGCAAAGTTAAGTCAAACACATCCTTTTTGCGTATTAAAATTTAGTTTGCGATTCAATTAAAGTCCTGTTAAATCTAGCTTGAAAATGGCTAGAAGTTAAATTCAGTTCGGGCTAATGCAATTGTGCTGCCTCCTCAAAGTGGACCTTGATTCAAGATCCTCACAAATATGTTTACATGCATAACATATTTATTCATAATTTTGACAGCCGACAATAATAAGCTACAAATGTCTTAAGTCGAGTGATGGGGCAGGGAGGGGGGCTGTGTAATGCCGTAAACTACCAGACCCTATGGGTATTACGAGCGACATTTGCATAACATTGCCCAAAGAGTTGATGACGAGGGCGATGACAAGGGAGGGAGCTGCCCGCTTAAATCAAAAAGTTGGCACAATGAAAAGGCAACGGCAACTGCTTAATAAAAGAAAATTATGCAAATTGCTAATAAATTATAGTGAGCCAGCGAACGACATGTAAAATAATAAGCGGCGAGTGAAAGGAACAAGAAACCACGATTTTGCCCTGGACTGCCGAATATGAGATACCCTTGCAGAGGGACTTAAAGTTGACGTGGGATATGTTTATATGTCTATATCTATCTATGTTTTATGCAAGACTGCAAGCTTATAATTCCGGCTTTAACTTTACAAACGACATTAATTAATATACAAATTGAAAATTGCGACTGGTTTTGAGCCAGCGACTTTCCGTTTTGACCACCAACTCACGCTTGAACCAGAAGCTGGGTGCAATAAGGGAACCTCAAGGCGAGGCACGAACTCCCGAACTTTAATATTGGGCTTACATTAAGGCTCATAAATTAGGAGAGTCGAAAAGCTTGTAATTGCAGAGTTGGGTTTGAACCAACTAAGTCACACTTGAACCAAAAGGCTGGGTGCACGAGTTGAACCCTAGGCGCGGACAGGAGCTTGAAATGGGCGAGCTGGATTTGAATATCTTACAAATCAAAAGCTAATAGTTCTATTGCAACTATGGAATCAATGTGTTACACATTTTGGGAGAAAATTATAATACTTTCGGCAAGGGTAAACCGAAAGAATCAGACTGCAGCTGGAAGAGGAACAAGAACTGGAGCTGTCGCTGTCGCTGGTAGCGAGCGGGCGAATTGAATTATAAATGTAAGCACAATGCCAATGTAACCGAATGGTGGCCAGAACTGTCGAGTTCCGGGGCTGATGTTGATATGGACACAACGGCGCTGAGAAATCATTAAAATAATAAAGCGCTGTATGGCTTGCAAGACGCTGTCGTCGAGGTCGCAGGACACAGCACGCAGGACGAGCTGGCATTAACTGGCGAATGGATAATGGCGAAACTTTCTGACATTTATTGTGTTTTTGTGTCGAATGTTTATTTATGATTGCATGTCGCGTATTTACATTACAATGGCCATAACTAACGTTGACTATGCGTATCCCTGTGCGTATGCGTATTAAATTAATGATGCTTTCTAGTTCATAAAATTCGTTATGTGACCAGAGAGTCGGAAACGGAGACGGGTCGTGGTCCGGGTCGGTCTCGAATTCCATATAGTCGCTGAATGTCAACGTCAAACACACACAAATCAAATAATCACATAAATGAGAGCACATGCGCGCACACACACTCAGGCACACACGCACACACATGTTGGTTGTGTCTATTGAATTGTAACAAATTGATTGTCATAAAACATCGTTTATATTATATTAAAATGTGTCATTGGTTGTTCATGCTTCAGTTCAGCCAACAAAACCGCCGTCGAAAACTCTCAGCCGTTGCATAAGAATTCACAAGTGGCGCTTTGAATGATTGCGATAAAGATGCTAACCAGTGTTGCCAAAACCTCTAATTTCCCGTCAAATCTGGCTAAGGTTATAGTGTGTGTTTTTTGGGAATTTTAGGCTTGATCAACATTCACAACAAAATAATTGCTCTCATTTAATGCGTACTTTTTCCTTTTTAACATGGAATGATGTTTCGTCAGTGTGTTTAAACGCTTCACTAATTACTTAGCGTTTTACAGCACTGTCAATACACTTTTAAAGCAATGGAAATATTTCCAAATATATTAAAAAAACACAAAAAAGCTAAATATGTTTTTATTAAAGACTTTTAATTGACCAAAAAATGATGTTAATTATTTAACAGCTTTTTAAAAGCTATCAGGCTTGCCACGCCTGAGCAATATGTTTCTTTTTGCGTTTCACAACACTATCACTGAAGTCAACGAAAGTTCTGTTGAAATAGATAATATCTTAGATGCATGAAGCAAAAGAGTGCCAACTATTTTTTTTTACCAGTAAAACTGTTTTTTTTTAGGTTTTCCTTTCGGAATTGCCATATTGGCCCTCCAAAAAGTTGACAGCACTGTTGTGTAACGGTGCTTAAGATTTTCGGGTGAGTTTAGGTGCCGATGGGTGCGATAGTTGCCGCCCTAGCCGAGACTAAACAGAATTTATGACTGTTTACGACAGATTGCACACTCCATTTGTTTTGTTTACCACATTCTCTTTTTGGCACACTTGACACACTTCGCAAGAACCTTGACGAGAGAACTTTTTCGTGGCGAGCCCTGCTCTCGTCTTTGTCTCTGTCTCTGTCTCCTTTAATTAGTTGCCGTATTGGGCCGCTTGGGGCGCTGCTTTAGCAGCTGTGCCCAACTGCAAAAAGTGCCCAACATCATATGCATGATTTGTGAAAAACTTTTAACTGTCCCCACGCCATACGACAGGAGAGTTAGAGGGATAGGGAGCAGATCCTGGCAAGCTGCCGCCAGGCAGCCTGTTTTGGCCAAGTTTATGAATTTCATAGCCAAAGTTTTTCGCCAACACATAAAACATGCGCACAATTTGTAAGCTGCTGTTCGTCGTTATTTGCCTGCGACTACTTTTGCAAAGAACCTTTGATATCCTTCCTGGCACTAACTGGCTTTACAAGCCAGCCATTACCGAGTTACTCGACCGGCTCGCTCAATTAGCTCGATAAAGCTCATGTACGCAGTATTTTGGCGTATGTACGTCATGATATCATCAAACACAAGACAGACATAAACACGAGCCAAGTCACCATTCACAAACGACCTTTCCAGACAAGCCCCAGCATGGCCAGTTCGTTGAACCGTATCTATGTACGCAAATTACCGATACCCAAGACTTGAGCATCAACATTAAATTATGTTGGAGTACTGTAGTCGGAAGTGCTCAACAAGGGGATACCCTGAACCCAGCGTCGAGCATCCCAAGCCCAGGAAATCAATTCGTGATTATCTTCGATGCTTACAGTCCGATACTAGATATCCGTATACTATACGTTAAAGAGCCTAGTGTCCAATTTAACTGCAATGCCTACAAATGCCTCAGGATCGATATTTATCGATATTATAAAAAGTCTGGAAGCAATAAAAGAAAGATGTAAAATATACGAGAACATATATTTATCTATTCCTCCAACTTCTGTAGTAAAACATCCGCGATTATATATTTATTCAAGTCTCCAGCTTTTCTAGTTTCCAACACAGACATAGAAAGACGGACGAACCCAAATTTATATACTTAATTGATTCGGATTTGCTTCCTCTGCCTGTAACATACACGTGCACGTAAACATTATGCCCATCTAACCCATTTACAACGGATTGAGGGTATAATAAGATACTCTATGACAATAGAGATCACGCCGAAAGACTTGCTGTCATTAAAATCTTAAAAATTATTGTTATTTTTTTTGCATTAAATCTTATTATATGCGGTATCTTGACCGTGAAACATTCGAAAGCGAAACAAGGTATTCAGTTCCGCTCTGCCCAGCCGCGAACCGGCTTCCAAGCCACGAGCAGCCGGGGCGTTAGGGGCACGGGCACGGGCACTTGAGGCCTCAAGTGGGCACCATGTGCGAGCATTTGGCTTGCAAATGCTCTGACCACAGTTGGGCTTCAGCATCGCTGATGCTGCTGTTGCCGGGTGTTTTGTTGATATTTCGAGAGCGGGGCAAACAAAGTGTTGGTCATTGTTTGGTTTGTTGTGTGTTTATGCGCTGCTTGGCAAACATTAGAGCGTATAAATATTGCGGCAAATTGCGACTATTAATCATTCGACCCATAGATTCCATCGATAACACAATTTGCTTTGGACATCTATACCGAAATGGTAGGTAGCCAAGGATTACACCATCAGGATTATCAGGCTGTCATCTTACATCGCAACCGTTTCACCTTATTACAGAAACTCTTCATTGCGTGCATGTTGATTGCCGCAGCGACGGCTGCAGTGATTCCTGTCGAACAAGCCAGGCACCGTCGTGATGTCTCCGAGATCGTGAATGAGTATATCCCACCATTGGAGGAAGTTGGCGCCGATGCTCCCACTCAGCACGTTGCCCAAGTCCCCACCACTGTAGGAGAAGATGGTTACCGCTACAAAACTGTTCGTCGTCTAAAGTACCGTCAACGCCGTGATGTATCAGAGATTGCCAACGATTACCTGCCCCCTTCGGAAGAAGTAGCTACTGAGGTTCCAGTTGAGGAAGTCGCCCAAGATACGGCTGTTTTAGGTGAAGATGGCTACCAATACAAGACTGTCCGTCGTCTGAAGTACCGTCAACGCCGCGATGTCTCAGAGATTGCCAACGATTACCTACCCCCTTCGGAAGAAGCAGCCACTGAGGTTCCAGTTGAGGAAGTCGCCCAGGATTCCGCGGTTTTAGGAGATGATGGCTACCAGTATAAGACTGTCCGTCGCCTGAAGTATCGTCAACGCCGGGATGTACCCGAGAGTGCAAATGAGTACCTGCCCCCTTCGGAAGAAGTAGCCACTGAGGTTCCAGTTGAGGAAGTCGCCCAGGATTCCGCGGTTTTAGGAGATGATGGCTACCAGTATAAGACTGTCCGTCGCCTGAAGTATCGTCAGCGCCGGGATGTATCCGAGATTGCAAATGAGTACCTGCCCCCTTCGGAGGAATTGGCCACTGAGGCTCCCGTTGAAGAAGTCGCTCAAGATTCCGCTGTTCTCGGAGAAGATGGCTACCAGTACAAGACCGTCCGTCGCCTGAAGTATCGTCAACGCCGGGATGTATCCGAGATTGCAAATGAGTACCTGCCCCCCTCGGAGGAAGTAGCCACTGAGGTTCCAGTTGAGGAAGTCGCCCAGGATTCCGCGGTTTTAGGAGAAGATGGCTACCAGTATAAGACTGTCCGTCGCCTGAAGTATCGTCAACGCCGGGATGTATCCGAGATTGCAAATGAGTACCTGCCCCCTTCGGAAGAAATAGCCACTGAGACTCCAGTTGAGGAAGTCGCCCAGGATTCAGCTGTTCTCGGAGATGATGGTTACCAATACAAGACTGTCCGTCGCCTGAAGTATCGTCAACGCCGCGATGTCTCAGAGCTCGCCAGTGAGTACCTACCTCCATCCGAGGAAGTTGCCACTGAGACTCCAGTTGAGGAAGTCGCTCAAGATTCCGCTGTTCTCGGAGAAGATGGCTACCAGTACAAGACCGTCCGTCGCCTGAAGTATCGCCAACGCCGTGATGTCTCAGAGATTGCCAATGAATATCTGCCCCCCTCGGAGGAAGTAGCCACTGAGGTTCCTGTTGAGGAAGTCGCCCAGGATTCCGCGGTTTTAGGAGATGATGGCTACCAGTATAAGACTGTCCGTCGCCTGAAGCTGCGTCATCGTCGTGCCTTGTAAGTGCGCCAGCTGCTGCCTGCCTGGATACGATAAAAACCCCACCAACTCCTATTAGGACGTAAGTAAGGAACCTGTTTTGCCATTATTTAGCGATTGAAATCAACGAAATAAATCCAACGAAAATTGTTATAATATACACACGTCGTGGGTCGTTCTTTGTTTTAAGCGGACACACCTGTCGGTGGAAGCCGCCAGTTGGCCAGAAGTGCTCGACGTTTTCATAAATTGTATACCTTTTCGCTTAGTTATGACAGCAACAGTTAAGCTCATGGCTCAGCGCACAAGAACGCAATTATCCAAAGGCGACGGCAGCAAAAAGGACTCGGGAACTGAACTGGGAATGGGACTGGGACTGGGACTGGGTCGGACCGCGCCTTAGTCCGGAGAACTTCAACGAACTCTAACAAATACTTTAAGCTATGCTTTTGAAGATGTTAATCTCATGTCAAGTCCACTTTACACACAACGTTAAGGGTTCGGACGCCGCACAACATGGCTAACAAGGACAAAGTCGCCCATTGATTTGTGTGGGTGTTTGTGTGTGTGTGTGTGTGTGGTGCTGTTTGGTGTTGGCAGAAAAAGTTGTTAAGTTAAAAGGCATTTGAACCACAGCGGCCAGGATTTCGGTCAGCGCGCCTTTCGGGTCTAACAACTTCCACCACAGCGCACCCAGCGACCGGCCAACTAATAATAATTTATCGATCCCCCAGCTAAAGTAGTCACATACGTGTTCCTCCCTATGATTTATGGCGTCCGTCTATGTGTGTGTTTTTGTGTGTGGGCGTGCCTGAATTGAAACTCAGCGCAGCCGAGGTGCCAGGCAGTCCGACAGCCGTACGGAAGGGCTGTGGGACAGCGGGCGGGTCAGCGCAGTGCCAAATTGGTTTAATGTGTGGTTAGACAACTTATTTAACGTTTTTCAAGTGGCTAGCAAGTGGTGGGCAAGTTTTTACTCGTGGAACGACGGACCCGCTCTGTAAAGCTCTGTTTCTCTTCTTCTCAGGCCTTAACTCCGAACTTTCCAGATGCCTCGGAAACAGACATTTTCCTAAAGACTTTATATATTGAGTAATTATTTCTGGTTACAAATATAAGCCATAAATCATATTCGAAAAGCTCCATTTTCTGCGTCTTCCATGCCAGACCTTACCTTCAATTCTTAAACAAGACTTTTCCAGTTTTTTAACTGCCTCTGCAACGGATTTTGAACCAACAAATATTGACAAAATATTATTTCTAAAAATAAACTAAATATCATATATAATAATAGCTTAAAAACTTAAACCGCGCCCATCTCTATTCAGCAGGGACAAGTGTGCCCAGCGCCTCTCAGGTGTCCCAGACGGTCACATTACGTTTTCTATCATGCAATGCCAAAGAGACGGGTTACCCATTTCTATACAAATCGTGCCGATATGCATATATAGTTAGAGACTAGCCCGGAGGGGAGGTTGGCACTGAGACATGCTCGTAAATTAAAGGGCGCTATCAAAGGCGACGTTATGACATCATTAAAGCAATTATCAATGCTGAATTATAAGCGCCAGATAGCTTGCGGGAGGGGTAACGATCTGAAGAGCAAACTATTTTAATGGCCTTGGGAAAAATATGCGAACTTCAAAGCGAAAATCACATAAAATTTTATGAATTATTTCAAATATTTTCAATTACTCGAACGCCAGTCGAGGGTCGAGGGTCGAGTGTCCACAATCGACAGTTGAGAGCCGAGAGCCGAGAGCCGCCAGTCACCCCAGTTAGATAGACAAATGGAAGAGCATAAAAAACCGCATCAAGAAATTTATGCGCCATTCAAGCGTGGAACATTAACACATCCTCCTCACAAGGAGCTGCTGCTTGAAGTTGACTGCATAAACAGCGAAATGAAAGTGAAAATACGAGACTCGTAATGTGCGCCGAACAGCAACTGCTCTAATATTTAGCTTGATTAAAATTCAAAAGGTCTTAAGTTCAAAAACCGTAGCAAAGTTTTGTTATTCCCAGCGCCCAGTGAAAGTGAGCACAAGGGGAATATTGTGGGAAAAGAGGAAAGCATATATTTACTTGAGTCAAAATAGCCGAAGAGTGAGTCAGAGAGCATGTTTGGAATACGAAATCGATAAATATCGATCTTGACCTTCTTCATCCTAAAATATCTCTCTGAGTTTGCGAGTCTCCAGACTTGGTTTGTGCTATTTCAAAAAAGTACTTAAAGAGCAGGAACCTATAACTTATACCCACGGCTTAATAAATCGATAAATATCGAACTTGAGCCTCTTTACCCTGAAATATAGCCTTCAGACTTGATTTGTGGACTTTTAAAAAAGTCTTTCCCAAAAATATCGCTCAGTTTGCAAATCTCTAGACTTTGTTTATGGGCCTTTTAAAAAGTATTTAAGGAATAGGAATATTTAGCTTACTCCCCAGCTTAGTGCCTGCTGCAGGGTATCTTTTAGTCGGATACCATTAACTAGAGCAAAATTACTTGAATTTTTGTTGTTTCTTTAAGCCATAATTCAGCATTTATGGCATCATTATCACAAATGCCGAGGGCGATCTAGCAACACTGTATGTCCCCTCTGGCCATGCGCCCCCATTCTGCCAGCCCGGCATGAAAATCAATTTTGAGCAGCTCAGCTCGCTGATTAGCCGCCTGCACATGCAAATAAGCAGGGGATCTGCTTGGAGGGTGGCTGAGGGGCTGCTGCGGATGCTGTTCTTGCAGCTGCCATTACTATGTAAGCCCGGACTTGGCCAGGACGTGGCCAGGACGATGCAGCCGAACAACTTTATGGCCACAATATAATTTATTCAATGCCATTTGGCGTTCGGGGTGCACAGCACATGACAAGCAATTGACATTTTTGTGACTTTTGAAAACTATAAAATGTGCAGCTCAGCCATACAACAGGCCACAACAAACCGGCCAGGCCAAGGCAAAGGCAACGCAAAGGCAAAGGCGTAATGATGACGGCCATAAAGACCACAACAGCGTGTGGGCCAGACGCGGTGCGGCAAAGACTGCGGCAAAGAGCTGGTTTGGGGGCATAAACGTAACCCATACAAAACAAGTAAGAGTACTTGAGTTTGCAAGACACGACTAGGAGATACCCTAGGTAGCCCAAAATACTCCCAAGAGCGCGGTGCTCATAGTCCGATCTTGATGGAAACTTGCAGGACTTAAAAAATTTTTTTTTGTACATTTTATTACATAAATTGAGTTGAAACTTAAGTATGTTATAGCTACAGTTTTAATCTAGGCAATTTGATGCATCTAGCTATAATTTTCTAGTCATGTTAATCAAATCAAACAATTGGAAATGGATAAAGATATTGAAAGAATATATAAGACAGTTCCATACGACGAACTGTCTTATATCCTCTTCCAATATCTCTTTCTATTTACCATAGTTAAATATTTATTGGGAGAATATATATGTATCGAATTTGCAGCGCAAAATAAAACAAATTGAATTGTAAAAAATATATATTTTTTAATGTTGCTATATAGAATTTCAAGACAGACCGAGGCCATGGCTAGATCGACTCAGTCTGTCGTTCTGATCAAGATAACATATATATATATATATATATATATATATATATTCTTAAGCTGCTTCCCACCGCCTGTTGCATATTTTAGCACAAAAACATGATGCCCTATTTAGCCGTTTCCAATGGGCTTAGGGTATAAAAAACATTTGTTGTTCGACAAAATAATAAAGTTGCGTTTGATTATGTTTGTGTTGGTGCCGCATTCACTCTCTCTCTCTCTCTCCCCCTCTCTCTCTCTCTCACTCTCTCTCTCTCTGTATGTGTGTGTGTGTGTATAAGTAAGAAGTAAATACCAGATACCAAATACGACAACTAAACTAAAATTTTCAGCATCATATGTAACAGGACTTACAGCACATTACATATCCCGCCCACGACTACAAGGTCCAGGGCCCCAAGGACAAAGACCAAGACCACGACAAGGGCGACGACGAGGACGACGAGGACGACGTTGACGTTGACGTTGGAGGCAACGCCCATTCCCTGCCCCAGTTCGCCGCCATTTGTGCTGCTCGTCAACGGCAATGGCCGTATGCCGGATATCCTTTTTGACATGTCATTAAATTTTATACACACAATAATTTTTCACAATTTGCTTTATGGCCACTTTTAAGAGTCTGTCCGATGTGTGCGTTGAATATATTATATATATATACTTATAAAGAGTGCAAAGCGAACCAGCCAGCAATAACAAGCTGAATTTATTGAAAATAGACAACACACTTGGCCAGAACCTACTCTCTCTCTCTTGGACAGCCTTCAAGTAGGAGTTGAAAGAAAATATACACTCATGTGGCTAAAACTGACAAGCCTTCATTTTGAGAGCTCATTAAGGTAACTGTATGATAGAACTCCTCCTTCGATCGATCATTTGTATGGCATATAGTAGTTCGATCCGGTTACGACATATGTAATGGGTGTAAAGGAAAGCGGGACAGATGGACATGTCTTAATCGACTCGGCTGTTGATATATATACTTTATGGGCTCGGAGATGTCTCCTTATATGCGTTACACATTTGGAGGCAAAAGTATAATGCCCAGCAAGGGTATCAAATAGATATGAATAATAGATATATATATATATGCTCAGTTCGAACCGCGAACCTCTCAGTTGTTAGTCCGACGTGAACCTTCCTTAATCTCCTCTTAGTGCTCAGCCTTCGGCTAAGAGAAAACGACATTCTCGAAACCAGAATCTCGTTCTTCAGTTGCCCAAAAGACAGCTCATTCTCCAAGAAGTGCAGAAAGAGTAAAAGCAATCTCTTGAGCTTAAATGCAAATAATATAGTCAATACATTCAAAGTAAATGACATCATTTAAGCGAACAATGAGTATGAAGTACTCAATTGATTTGTCTCCCTATGAATCCATTTCCACTTGTACTTTCATTGCCAGCTCTTTAAGACAATGAACCATGCTAGATTCCTAACAACTCATTGCTAATCA